TGACTTGACAACAGTGGTTTTTTAGTGTTTGTTTTTGTTTTTTGTGTACTAATCTTGTATCTAACAACTTCACTAAATTCCATTAGTAATTCTAATTGATTGGAGTCTTTTGCATTTTTTTCTTTCTTTACCTTGTACTAGTTAAGACCTATGCTACAATTTGAATAGAGATGATGATAGCAGACATGCTTATTTCAACCTAATCTCAGAGAAATGTTTTCAGTATTTCACCATTCAATGTGATTTATGGTGTAGGTTTTTTGGAGATATTCTTTGTCAGATTAAGTAGATTCTGTTCGATTCTTAGTTTGCTATGTTTTTAATTTTTGTTTTTATTATACCTTGATATTGAATGGGATCCCTGGCTTGCACAAATGGCTTATGCTTGGCTACCAACCAAAAATTTGGCAGTTTGGACCTACCCAGCAGCCCTGTAGAAGAGAACCCTAGGAATCTCTTACTATACCATGTACAGCCAAGAAAACCCCATGTAGCAGCTTTACTCTGTCACACTGGAGCATGCCGTGAATCAGAATCAACTTGACTATAAAGGTTTTTTAGGTGTTGAATTGGGTCAGGTGCTTTTTCCACATCTATTGAGAATATGATTTTGTTAATGTGATGAATAACACTGAGTGGTTTCGGTGTGATGACAACCTTGAATTTCAACTCAGTGGTGATATATTATACTTTTTATATCTTGCCAATATTTAGTTTAGAAACTGGGTATGTGTTCATAAGAGAACACATCCTCATGAGGTTCTGGTAAATTGTATTAGTCTGATAAAACAAGTTGGGATATGTTCCTTCCTTTTTAGCTTGGATGGATTTATATAAGATTGGTATTACTGTTGACCCTTGAACAACTTGGGAGTTAGAGATGCAAACCACCCAAGCACTCAAAAATCCACATAAAATTTGCAGTTGGCCCTAGAACAACACAGGTTTGAATTATATGGATCCACTTATATATGGAAAAGGAGCTCTGGTAGCGTAGTGGTTACAAGAAGGGCTGCCCACCTCAAGGTCAGCAGTTTGAAACTACCAGCGGTTCCACAGGAGAAAGATGAGGTGTTCTGCTCCCATAAAGATTTACAGCCTTGGAAACCCTGTGTAGGGTCGCTATGAGTCAGAACCAACTCCATGGTACTTACCAACAACAAAAACATATATGGATTTGTTTTCCTGTTACAGTACAGTGAGCTCAAGTGTTAAGAGCATCTTCTTAAAATGTATGTGATACGTATCATCTGTGCATGAGCAGTTCATCTGTTCCAGGAAAAAATATCCGTGTATAAGTGAGTCCACACAGTTCAAACCTGTGTTGTTCAAGAATCAACTGCATTTCTTAAGTATTTGGAAGAATTCACTAGTGAAGCCATCTGGTCTAGAAATTTATCTGTGCAAAGTTTTAAATTAAATATTCCATTTCTGTATTGTACTTTATGTTTATGAGTCAGGCTGCTAACCTCAAGGTCAGCAGTTCAAAACTACCAACCATTTCATGGGAGAAAGATGAGGCTTTCTACTCCCATAAAGATTTACAGCCTCGGAAACCTTAGACAGGATCGCTATGAGTCGAAACAGACCCCAAGGCACATAACCACCACCACCATTTCTGTATTAAATATAAGACTATGCATGTTTTGTTTCTCCTTATGTCCATTTTATTAAAGAATTTAGTTCTTTCATTTAAAATGTTATATTAATTGGCATAGATTTTCTTTTCTCTATTCTTATTATCTATCATATGTAACTCTGTAGAGTCTATTCTAAAAGTTCTTTTACCATTCCTGATGTTGGTAATTTATGTCGTCACACTTTTCTTGATTTTTCTTTTTAGAGGACTACCAATTTTTCATTAATTATTGATATTTTTATTTTTTCTTCTACTTTGGGATTAATTTGCTGTTCTCTTTAATTTCTTGAGATTAATACTTAGATTGTTCATTTTGAACACATATGAAATACGTTTGTATACATTTCCTTCTAAACATGACTATAGCTATATCCTACAAGTTCCAATTTATATTTTCATTATCATCCAGTTAAAATATTTTCTAATTGTATTGAGATGTAATCTTTATTCTGTGTGTTATGTGATATAGAATTGTGGATTTTCTAATTTATCTTCTTGTGGTTTGGTATTCATTTCTGGCTTAATTCTACTGTATTGAGAGAACATATTCTGAAGTATTTCAGGCATATGAAATTTACTCAGACTTTTTTATGAGTCCTGGTGTGGTGCTGTGGGTTAATGCACCAGACTGCAAAGCCATTTGAACTGCAAGGTCAGCAGTTCAGGCTCACCAGCTTCTCCTCAGAAACCCTATACAGGGTCTCTATGGGTCGGAACCTACTCGACGGCACTTAACAACAAATATATGATCAGTTTTGGAATCCTGGTATGGCACTGTGGGTTAATGCACCAGACTGCAAAGCTGTTTGAACTGCAAGGTCAGCAGTTGAAACTCACCAGCTACCTGCTCCTCAGAAACCCCATACAGGATTGTTATGGGTCAGAATCGACTTGATGGCACTTAACAACAACATCTATGATCAGTTTTAATAAATGTTGTAGGTGTACTTGAAAATATGCATTCTCTCATATTTAGGTATAGTGTTTTAAGTATGTAAGTTAGATCAGGCGTCCTGTTGTGGCACTGTAGGATAAGCATCGAACTGCTGACACAAGGTCGGTGGTTCAAACCCAGCTGCTCCTCAGAAATCCTATATAGGGTTACTGTGAGTCAGAACAGATGGTACTTAACAACAACAACAACACTATATTTTGAGTCCTTGTGTGGTGCTGTAGGATAAGCACTGGACTGCTAACCACAAGGTTGGTGGTTCAAACCCACCTTTCGTCAGAAATCCCATACAGAATCACTATGAGTCAGAACTGACTTAATGGTACTTAACAACAATAGGAAGTTAGGTCGAGTTTGTTTATTAGATTGTTGAGATTTTCTGTATTCTTAATGATTTGATTTCTGAATTATTGAGAGAGGTGTATAAAAGTCTCCTACTATGATTATCTTTTTTTTTTTTCCTTTTCATTCTCAGTTTTTATTTTATACATTTGAAGTTATTTCATGATGTGCATACAGTTTTGTTTTTGTTTTGGGAGGTGATTTGTTTTTCATTTAGATTTTCTAGTTGTTTTCTACAGGAAACGGTGTGCCAAGGACAATTCTATCATGACCAATGTGGAACTCAGTCCATAAGATTTTGAGGCTTGATAATACTGGTGTTTAACATTAGCCATTCTTTGTGTTGTTTTATTTCTGAGCTCAACAAGATGTTAATCTTAAAATGTACGGCTTAACTTTCCTTTTCACTTAAGTAAAAGGTGTTTTGTGGTTGCTGTTGTTTTTCTATCACTTTATAGACTATTTTCTGGAATTATTAGGAAGGAGAGAAGATGAAGGAGGCTTGTTTCTTGATTGGATTTCACAGTAATTTTGGCATCCTCTGTGTCTAGTTTCTAGCATTTAACATTGTTTCTTAGCACAAAGTCTTAAATATAATTAAGTTGAAAGTTAAATATTCACAAATAAGTCTGGAAGATGTAACCCAGAACTATGTTTATTAATATTAAGACACCCATGAAGCTAAGTGGGAAGCTTGTTGAGTAAGTGTGGAATTTGTGTTTGTGGAGAAGAATCATTTTATCAGTAAATTCATGGAGCCTACCCCCTATCCGAGTAAAGGAGTTTATAGTGACCAGTATATTCCTTTCATGTAGATCTAGGCCTCTTGACATACTGGATGTGTCCTAGCAGATTTGCTGCTCTGTTCTTAAAGTTTGTATATTCACTGAACTTCCTAATGGTACATTTTCCTCATTTTGCTTTTGCTATAAACTGCCTATGAGTCAGTTCTGACTCATAGTGACCCTGTATAGGGTTTCCAAGGACAGCTGGTGGATTTGAACTTCCCACCTTGTGGTTCGCAGTGTAGTGCTGATCCTACAGCACCATACCAGGAGCCTTTTCTCCTCATATAGAGGTTATATTGTTCATATGGAATTACACACATTATTTCCTCACAAACAGGAAGTGTACTCATTTTATTTGTAGATATGAATATTTATAGAAGTTTGCCTTTTTTATTACCCTTCTGAATGCAAAAAAATGAGCTTATAAAAAAACATTAAGATGTTAGCTTTGGTAGTTACTCTTAAGTTGGATTATTTTACTACCAATGATTGACCTCTAGTTTCAGTGGCTTCTTAAAGACCAAATCTGGGTTGTTTGGTTTTGAAGACCACTTTACTAAAGTAAAGCAGGATATAGAACACACAATTCTAAGTGTGAACAGAAGACTGTAGGGAGGGGCTTATCCATTGTACAATGTATGAAGCAGGAGAACATACGTTATACAGTCGATCCCCCTTCCTACAGTCCTCTGTTCACATTTCTCTCTTTATCTTCACTTTAATGCTGTAACATGTTTTGTTAACATTAACAAGCTTATCATCTCATCCCAGCTGGATGTTTTTCTGGGATAAAACAGACCTGTATTTTATTTTTAATGTATTTCAGACTGGCTGACTATGCTTGTGAGTATGAAATCTACCCTGAAAGCAGATATTCCTGATGAAAGATTGGATCAGCGGAAGATAAAGGAAAAACTCCCTAGAGATTATCATTGGAAATGTGATAACGTGTTAGAAAAGAAGCATGGAAGGCAGGAATTAAATGTGCAGCAAGTAATAGTCACTCACCAGAAAACCCTATCTGGACTTGGTGTCCTCGGACATAATGAATCTGGAAAGGATTTATCTCTTACTCTGAGTCAGAGTGTTCGGTCTAACCAAAAAGCCTTTGAGTGTAATGAGTGTGGAAAAGTCTTCACTAAAAATTCTACCCTTAAGAAACATCAGCAAATCCATACTGGAACACCGAATGCAAATCTGAAAACTTTTAAAGAGAAACGGTATGAATGTAGAGAATGTGGGAAAGCTTTTCACCAGAGTACACACCTTATTCATCACCAAAGAATTCACACTGGTGAGAAACCTTATGAATGTAAAGAATGTGGCAAAGCCTTTTCAGTGAGTTCTTCACTTACTTATCATCAGAAAATTCATACTGGAGAGAAACCTTTTGAATGTAACTTATGTGGAAAAGCTTTTATCCGAAACATACACCTTGCCCATCATCACAGAATACATACTGGAGAGAAGCCTTTCAAATGTAATGTATGTGAAAAAGCCTTTGTCTGCAGGGCACATCTTACTAAACACCAGAATATTCATAGTGGAGAAAAACCCTATAAATGTCACGAATGTGGGAAAGCCTTCAATCAGAGTACTAGTTTTCTTCAGCATCAAAGAATCCACACAGGAGAGAAGCCCTTTGAATGTAATGAATGTGGAAAGGCCTTCAGGGTCAACTCTTCCCTTACTGAACATCAGAGAATTCATACTGGAGAAAAACCTTATAAATGTAACGAGTGTGGAAAAGCTTTCAGGGATAATTCATCCTTTGCGCGACATCGGAAAATTCATACTGGAGAGAAGCCATACAGATGTGGCTTGTGTGAGAAAGCCTTCAGGGACCAATCAGCCCTTGCCCAACATCAAAGAATTCACACTGGGGAAAAACCTTATACATGTAATTTATGTGGAAAGGCTTTCAGTGACCATTCAGCTCTAACTCAGCATAAGAGAATTCATACTAGAGAAAAACCTTACAAATGTAAAACCTGTGAGAAAGCCTTTATCCGAAGCACACACCTTACTCAACATCAGAGGATTCACACAGGAGAAAAACCCTACAAATGTAATAAATGTGGGAAAGCCTTCAACCAGACTGCAAATCTCATTCAGCATCAGAGACATCATATTGGGGGGAAATGATAAGAACGCAATTTCTGTGGAAAAGCTGTGAGACTGAGCATCAGTTACTGACTGTAAGAAAATCCATTCTAGAGAATACCTGTGAAAGCTTAACATCAAAAGAGTAATTTTATTGTGAAGTCAAACTGCACAATATTGTGGCTTTTAAGAGTTTGAGATGGCAAACTCATTGTTTAATATTGCCTCAATTGAATTAATTGTTGTTAAGTGCCATCGAGTCGGTTCCAACTCATAGCAACTCTGTATACGGTTTCCAAGGAGTGGCTGGTGGCACACCAGCACTGTTTAATTAGTCTGAATTACCAAATATCAGAACCAAATTGGAACTCCATAAGGACATAGAAATTGTTTTATCAAAATTACATTTTGACTAATAAAATTTATAAAATTGTATTATGTATATATATAGTTATGAAGCAAAGGAAAATGCCCACAAGCATTTCACTCTACTTCATTCTTATATAAGAGGATTCCCACCTTTAATGGAATCCTTAGTTCTTCATCCACACTCCAGGCACCAAGTTCAAAGAAAGTACAACCATCCGTGCATCAGCTCAGGAATTATTTAAATTATGCTTCTTACTGTCTGCTTCAGTTCATCTTTTATCAGGTGTCTGTGGCCTGTATCTACTGGCTTCTTAATTGAATTCTTATGAAACAGTTCATCTGAATGGTGTATCCCTTTGTGATGTAGCATCTCGTATCTGTGAACATCATGTTTTTTATTGCCATTTCATTTGCCTTTGGGAGTATGATGATCTGACCTCATACACAGTCAATGATTCTGGATATAGCATCCAAATTCAGAATGTTTTACATCATGGTGGGACTCAGTGGACTCTAGATTGAAACATAACCTTGGAAGTTTTCAGCAACTTCAGTGCCCAAGTAATTTTGTAAATTCAGCTTTCATCTAATAAAAGCCACCTGTGTGGACAAGCATCTCCTGATAGATGATCAGCAAATTATACCTTCTTCCCTATTAAGCTGCATGTGAAGCAGTATTTCAAGAGGCTGCTTGGGGTTATCTGTGCCCTGGGATCCCATGTTCATCTGCAGTCTTACACAGCTGATAATCCCATATTTCACAATAAATTTGGAGACACCATGCTCACCATATGCCTTGCAAGGTGCTAACATTCCCTTATCCTAAATCCCAGAGTAACATGTTGCTAAGCAGAGTGTTTTTGTTGGCTTCTTTGTTCATTTTAAAAAAGAGCTACTGCCACTTGGTATGTACCTGACATTGAACTAGCCTCCAGGGAAAGGCTCCCTGCCAGTTTAAGCGCCTCATGCCTTCTAGTGACAGCCTCAGGAGTAGTGCCTCCACAGAAGTCACTGCAGACCTGAGACCTTTCATCATAAACTTCAAACCACTTGTCCTGATGAGCTGTCAGGCTTGGATTTATTAGACCACTAGGATGCCTATTTACTCTTCCTATCTGGGGAGAGAAAAAGTAACTTAAGAGTCCTGTTAGGTATGTCTGGTCCAACTTGAATATATTTATAGTGATAGTGCTTGGGCAGACAATGTATTATATTCTACTACATAGTTAACAGTTTATGGTTTTTACTTTTCTCAAGTAATATGACTGGACATGGGCAATCTGACTTGCCCCAATATAAATATCTTTGACTCAGCCCCTTAAAGTGCATTTTTGAGAACCTGGAGATAAGAGTACCTCAGCTACAATTTCTTCTGCAAGGTGATCTGCATGATGTTACACAAGATTTCAGCACTTTTTGAGAGAGACTTTTCTTCACCCACTACTCACCCAGGGTAACCAATGATTTCTAAGAAAAGAAGTTCATTTCATACCTTGCTTATCTAGTCTTCTTGATTGGCCATATAGGCACTCTGTGTGACAAACTGAAGGACCATTCCTTGTTGTTTATTGTTATGTACCATGGAGTCGGTTCTGACTCATAGTGGCCCTGCACAGGGTTTCCGAGGCTGTAAATCTTTACGGGAGCAGAAAGCTTCATCTTTCTTCCATGGAACGGCTGGTAGTTTCAAACTGCCGACCTTGTGGTTAGCAGCCTGATTCGTAACCACTACATTACCAGAGCTCCTTCACAATGTTTGCAAATGTTTCATTTTCAGTAGCCCCTTCTTCACACATCCAGCCCATCTACCACTCCTTGTTCTACATCGTGCATAAGGACTCTGTTCCCAGCATTTTAATGATGCTGCCATCACAGGATGATGAATCTGCATGCAACAGAGGATATATGCTAGATGCATGATACCAGCCTTCCTACCCAAAAGACTGGACTATAGATAATAGAGGCAAATAAGGGCTAGCAAAAGACCTAGGGTTCTTGTATCAGAGCTTTCCTAGTGCACTTTGGAAACTGCCCAATGGGAAAACTCAAAAGTGTCAATTCCACTCTGAGTAGATAGCATCTAGACTTTGTTATGTTCTTCATGTCTATGGGTTCCTATGAACAACCAGTGAATTTGCTCTATAGTAGGAGAAAAAAAAAAAAATGCTGTAAATTTCACTTTCTCATATTCCTCATTCTCTTTTGTCACATCTCTTCATCTCCAGCTGATAGATTTGAGCTGGGTTCTCCCTGTCCATCTCCATTTGCCTAGATTTGACAGTGATATACAATGATGGCTTTCTAAATAACACTATATTAAACTCACTTAGCTTTATTAATCTAAGAATGCCATAGCCACTAGTCTAATTCCTCCTCTTTCTCTAACATTCCCTTTGTGTTTTGTGCTAACCTTCCATGTACTTCTTGATTTGCCAGCAGGATAATATGGAAACAAAATTTCCCTACCCAACTCTTCTACAATTGGAAGATTCCCAGATGCTTATCCCACCTCAACATAGATACAATTTTAGTAATATCCCTATTCTTCCTATTTTCATGCCAGTTTGTGAAGGGGGAAAAAATACAAGACTTGATTATTTCTCATCACAAAAAGATGTCTCAGTTGTGCTAATGATCATGCTATATGTGTGCCAGTATTTACTAGGACTGACTTAGCCCTCCATGTTCTATATATCACTACCCTTAAAAAATATGTTACCAAAAGAATTACCAGTGCATCTTTTTGAAAATAAAATGAAAACTTTACCCAGCATTTTAGGATATACAAGTTGCATTTTTGTTGCCTGCTTATTTAGATATCAGTGAGATACGGGCAGAGGACATGCTTCCAAGTATTTTTATGGTCAATTTAGTGCTAGCTTCCACAATGACAACCAACCTATCTTATCCATAGCGTTCAGGCTGTGGAATATAAAGAGTGTGTCCTCTTCACTGGGTGAAACAGCTAACGTTGAGGGCATACTTTGTGTCAACTACTGTAGTAAGCATGTTGCACATAATAACTCAATCCTCTAAACTGTATGAGACTATTAATACAGGAAGGTTGAGGAAAGAGTTTTAGAAACTGACCAGAAGTAAGACTTAAATGGTGACTTAGGAACGTGTCCCCAGGTAGCAGGACTCCTAGGAACATGTAATTAACCACTACAATTAACCACTTGGATTAAGATGTTGAGGTGGGACTGATATGCCTGGTGGATGGGACAGCTATGTGCAAAATTCCCAGTCTTGCAACCGTGGTATCTAACTTGGCTTTGCACATATTAGGTTGAAGTCTTTTCTTCAAGTCCTGGTTTGTCAAAGTGAAAAGGGTTCAGGTGCTCTTTCAGCCGGGGAGTCTAGAAAGCATGGGTTTATAAATACATATCTGAGCCTGACAACATGGTCATCTTGTGGGCACAACCTGAGATAACTGACAGGTCCTGGATCCAAGCTAAATGAGAGGGTTATTACTAGGAATAGCTATTTTGGGTGGTGTTATAAAACAGAAAAACTGAGGCTAGTAGCCACAGAAACAGAGGGAAGTAGCCACTCATTTATTAAATCAAATGTCAAACTTAATATACAGTGCATATAGTTATGCACTGTCATGAACCTTAAACCTAATGGAGAAGTTATAAAATGAAGTTCAATTGATTTCCAAATAATTATATGAAATGAGAGAATAGGATACTATAAAAAGAGAATGTGCCAGGGACTCAGCTTTAGATCGTGTGGTTGGGGCAGACCTCACTGAAAAATTAAGTGACAATAAGATAAAGAATATATGAGCATGTGGAATAGCATGTGAGAAAACTCTGAGGCAGTAGCTAGCTTGTTCTGCTTAAGCCACTTTATAAAGGTGTGGGTGGAGCTCAGAATAGGAATCTACATGAGCAAAAGTGGACCATACAGACCCATTTAGCCCTTGCAATGAGTTTTAGGAAGCTACTACAAGATTTTGGAGTCCTGGTGTGGCACCATAGGATAAGCACTAGACCACAAGGTGGTTTGAACCACAAAGTTGGCGGTTCAAACTCACCAGCCGCTCCTCAGAAATCCTACACAGCGTCACTATGAGTAGGACCTGACTTCATGGCACTTAACAATAATTACCAGATTTTAGATATTTTATTTCAAATTTTCAAGCTACAGATAGTCTTTATGATATGTAAATTTCACAAAAGCATAAAAAGTGGGAAACTTTCTGTTGTAAATTGAATTTGTCCTCCAAAGGTCTATGACTACCTCCTGGTAGCTGTGAATGTGACTTCATTTGTAGCTATGGTCTTTGTTAATACAATCTTTAACACGAGATCATACTGGAGTACAGTGGAACCCATCTGAGCGGTGGTCATATAAAAAAGAGACAGAGGCACACAAAGGAAAGATGGCCATATGGAAACAGGCAGAAAGCTGAGTGATACATCTACAAGCCAAGGAACACCAAAGACTGCTGGCTACCACCAGAAGCTAGGAGATAGACATGGAACACATTCTTTCTCAGAGCCCTCAGAAGGAATCAGCATGACTGGCACCTTCATTTTGGACTTCTGGACTCCACAACTGTGAAAGAATAAATTTCTGTTTTTTCAAGCACCCACTTTGTGGTAATTTGTTATGCAGCCCTAGAAATTAATACATTTCCCTATTAATTTTCATTCTTTTCCAATTAATTTCCCTTGCAGTGAATAAGAAATTCCAATGATGGAAAAAGAATTTGC